CTCTTCCAAGGGTGAACTGTTAAAAATCACTACAATCTCAACAAAACCAAAATTTTAATCGGTTAACTCTAAACTCATAAAACCATGGGTTTCAGAACCGGACCGGTTAGCGAACCGGTCATGCTACCGATTCACTGGTTCAACCGGTCGAACCGGTTCGACCGGTCGAAAGAACCGGATGATGTCATAATTATTTAAAAAATTAAATAAAAATACCAAAAATATTTAATAAAAAATAATTTTTTATATCACAAGTCATATTCAAAGCAAGTCATAACATATATAAGTTAAAAACCATAAAATCAAGTGAAACAAAATGATTCAAATTAACTACAACATAATATTTAAGGTAAAACATATTAAATAATAAATATAATTATATAACTATAATTAAAAAATAAATTTGGAGTTAAAAAAATCATAACAAAATGATATTGTTTGGTTTAATTTTTTTTAAAAATAATCCCACATGGCTAAGAAACATAGAAGAGCATCCCAAAAGTCTAAAGAGTAAAAATATGATAACAAAACAATCTCACATTACTAAGAAACATAGAAGCGCATCACAACTAACTTCTATAAATAATAGAGGTAATTTGACATTCAAAATCATGGAGCCTTTTGGTGAGCATTGAGTGAACTATTCTTTTACTTCAATCAAGCTCGAATTTTAGGCTTCAATCGAGCTTCTAATTTTTTTTTGAGTTCAAGTTTCAATATTATATTTCGAGTTTGAGTTGAACTTGATAATTTTTAGCTTGTGAGTTTGAGTTGAGTTGAGCTTACTTTTAAAGTTTTCAAGTTCGAGTCGAGCTCAGCAATACTCGAGTTCGACTTGGCTCGTTGTTTGGTTTAATTTTTTTTTTTAAAAAAAAACAAAAATCCCAGTTTTTTCCCGATTTTTTCCAGTTTTCAGCCGGTCCGGTTCGAACGGTTCAGCGGTTCTGGCCGGTTCACTAATAGCGGTTCAACCGGTTTAGATTAAATCGGATTAAGCAACGATTCTCGGTTGAACAAGCCGATCCGGTCCGATTTTCAAAACAGGGCATAAAACGTACACTTAAATAAAATAAATTGCATTAAAATATATAAAATCTTAAATAAAATGCATTACTTTAAAATATATATAATCGTGTATCAAATAATTTAACACATTTATTATATTCCTCTCGTTCTCCCTCTCTCTCTCTCTCTCCCCCCACCCCCAAAACAAACGCACCCAACAATCATTATTATTTTCACTTTTCTATCCAATTGTATCCATCCTTCCACTTTTACAGGTTAGAATTGGTTGACCTTGATATGTTTATTTAATTTAGAAAACTTTGCCGGCTTTGTTCTAAATGGTTGACTTTCAATCTCGGACAAATTGTTTCTTGCAGGAAAAACGAAGAGCTAGCCAAGTTGACCACGACCCATCGTCACGTTCCATCATAATTCATAAATATCAAAACAAGCTGTAAGATCATGGTTTGATTTATTCCAACTCCAATTATTTTGAAATATGAACTCAAATCTCACTGTTGAGTACTGTGTGCGGCTGCCATTGCCCATTTGTTTCCAAATTTTTGGACCATGTTTCTTTTTAATGAGTCAAAAGGCAATGCCAAAACAAAAGATAAGATTCTCTTTACTCAATTACTCTTATTCTTTTTTCAAGGGAAATCTTGTGTTTTTTCTTGCTAAGATCATGTAACTTCAAGGAGTTTGAATGGTTGGGTTTAGGGGTGTATTCGGTTCAGTTCGATTTTTAAACGGTTTGGATTTTTCGGTTCGGTTCGATTTATCGGTTTTTCAATAAAAAAATCACTTGAAACTATAATTTTTTTTTTTTACAAAAATTACCTATTCGGTTCAATATGGAACAAATGGGTTCCATATGAAAAACCCGAATCGAACCGAATCAAAAAAATAAAGCCTTTAAACCGAACCGTTTAAAGCCAAACCGAACCGAAACGAACTGTTCTACTCGGTTCGTATCGGTTTTTCGATTTTCTCGGTTCGTTGTTCAGTCCTAGTTGGTTGGACATAGCAAGTTCAACAAATCAAAAGAAACTTTACCAATCTAAATTAACAAGTGTTGTGGCCGTTTACCATCCATCAAAACTCACCAAAGTGTGAACAAGGTTTTCGCTACCGTTTTCCTCACTTGGCAAATCTATAAATGTCGTGTTGTCACTTTCATACATCTTTGACTCTTTCCTGTTACAACCTTTTGTTTCCTCTCATTTATCAATTTTCTTTAACCTTGTATGAAAACTGAATCTTCTTTCCCCAACTTCCTTCGAGCAACCCATACCTTTTTTCAACATACTAGTTGTTAGGAACTCGGATTAGTATTGTAGATTCCAAAAGATGTGTACTAAATTTGACTTTCTGATCTTGGTAGGTAGGTGAAACTACCTGCTGCACTTAACAGTATTCTTTTCTTCTGCTGGTAGGTGCCTTGTTACCTTCCATATTGCTTGTTTTTGCTTTATGAGCAATTAAACGAGTTTATTTTGGTGATTTCAGGATTGGATAAGAGATCCGGTTTAATTATAAGGGTTAAAGGGATCAGCTATCTAGGGTATGCCATGAGTTGTAAGTGTTTTGGTTCGTTTGATTGGTTCAAAGGAAGGAATAGCCCTACTCCTGACCAGACTCAAGCTCAAGGTTCAGTTGAATTCATTTTTTGCTTATTTAAGTTTCAAAGTGGTAGGCTGCATATACAACCTTACTTTGGTTGTTTTGTTGCGTGATATACACTGCCTTTTCTTCTTATAATTATGCACAGAATATGTGCCTTTCTCTATATGGTTGTGTTCTTAGCGCAGCTTACATTAGGGTCATCTGTTTCTCTACAAAGTATTTTTCTCATTAATTTCTCAACTGGTTTCTTGTTTCTGTTTCTGTTTAAAATTCAGGGTATTGTCAGATGTTTCTTATAATAATTTTGTGTTCTCATTCGATTGCATATTTGACGTGTCTGTGAATGGACAGAGTTCACCACCGAGAATTTAAGGCTATTTACTTATAATTCGTTGAGATCAGCAACATCAAATTTCCATCCATCAAACAGAATCGGTGGAGGTGGTTTCGGAGTTGTCTACAGGGTAAAGAAAGCTCTCTGACCGTCCTTTTGTCTTCTGGTATTTAGAATTAGTTAGAAAATAGTAAGAAAACTTTACTTTCTGTAATTATTTGTAGGGGATTTTGAGGGATGGTACTCAAGTAGCTATCAAGAAACTCTCTGCGGAGTCTAAGCAGGGATCTAGGGAATTTTTTACGGAGATCAATATGATATCAAACATACGACATACCAACCTTGTTGAACTAATTGGCTGTTGTGTTGAAGACTCCCATCGGATCTTAGTTTATGAATATCTAGAGAATAAAAGCATTGCCAGTGTTTTACTTGGTAAGTACATCAACCCAAGCTCATTTGAACAGACTCCTCTCTTTTAACATTCTTGTTGTAGTTACTTTTGGATTTATATATGACTTATGTCTATCCCACTTGAGGGAAAAAGAATAGATAGCTTTCAAGCTATCTGATTGAGGTACGATAATGTCCAGTAATCCAAATTTCAGGTTCAAGAAGTAAATATATTGCTTTGGATTGGCCTACAAGAGCTGCTATTTGCTTAGGTACAGCTTCTGCTCTTGCATTTCTTCATTATGAAGCCGTGCCGCATATTGTCCACAGGGATATTAAAGCTAGTAATATACTTCTGGATGGGAATTTTCATCCTAAAATAGGAGATTTTGGGCTTGCTAAGCTTTTTCCGGACAATGTCACTCATGTCAGTACTCAAGTGGCTGGAACATTGTAAGCATCACTTTCATAGCATCTCATCCTTCCTTTTCCTTTGTTTAATTCTAGTGATTCTTTTGGCATTTTGTGCAGTGGATATTTGGCCCCAGAGTATGCCCTTTTAGGACAGCTAACCAAGAAGGCAGATGTTTACAGTTTTGGGGTGCTCCTGCTTGAAATAATTAGTGGTAGAAGTAGTAGTAAGGCTGTCTTTGGAGTGGAACTGATGCTTCTGCTTGAATGGGTACCTCTTTCCATTTGTTACATCATGTTAATGTTATTTTTTTTTCATATACGAACTGGACTCAAAAATTGAAAAAATGAATGTTCTTTACATAAGTGGTATCACCATTCCCTTACAGACATGGAAACTGAAACAAGAAGACGGGCTTCTGGATATTGTTGATCAAGAAATGAATGAATATCCAGAAGAAGAGGTGATGCGGTTCATCAAGGTTGCCCTCTTTTGCACCCAAGAAGCTGCACACCGAAGACCTACTATGAAGCAAGTGGTGCAAATGCTTTCCAACGAGGTGCACCTAAATGATAACTTGCTGTCAGAGCCAGGTGTTTACAAGGGGCAAAACCCTCACCAATCACTGATTCCTTCTTCCTCAACCACGATTTTCAGCTCTCACAGTATTACACAGATGATTCCTAGGTGATATGCTTAATACTTACCCGTTGTCTAATCATTGATTACATGAGGCTGAAATGAAAACTTGGCCTTGGCCCTCCTGCCCCTGGTTTCGCCTTGGCAATTACTACACCAAACCCGAACTACTGCTCTTAAAGAGCCACCAACCATCTCATACTTGTCCAGCATCCAAGTTTAACTAAACAATCTCCTCTTATAACGGTAATCAAGAGATGTGTTGGGGATATGTTAGTACACTAACACAATCATGTACAGAAGAAGAAAATATATAAAATCACTTGAAATTCAATGTTTTGCTTGATCACTTACTATCCTTTATATAAAAATTGTAAGTGACTGTTAGAATAGAACTATTTATTACACCCTCTCATCCTATGTAATCATATCTATTCATCATGAATAAAAATATTTATTCATGATGAATAGTCAAATACATTTATCATAAAAGTTAAATTTATTCAAATCATAATATTCAACACTCCCCTTTAATTTGAACATTTTTTCGGCATGCCAAGATTTTCATGCATACTTCGAAAATCTTCAAACTTAAGAGATTTTGTTAAAAAGTCTGCAACTTGATCAGTCTCTACAAACTTGAGCTTCACTTCCTTCTTGGTAATCTGCTCTCTAATAAAATCATATCTTATGTCAATATGTTTACTTCGATCAAGGAACATCAGATTCTTTGCAAGTGCTTGTGCAGACTTGTTATAAATATAAATATTAGTAGGTTTTTCTTGTGGCAAGTGAAGTTCTTTCACTAATTTTTTAAGTCAAATAACATGATAAGTACAAGAAGCTGCTGCCACATATCAACTGCACAGGTAGAATGAGTCACAATAGGTTGTTTCTTTGAACTCCAAGAGATATAACAATCTAGAAGTGCTTTTTCTATCATAAATATCACTGGTAAACTCACTCTCACAAAATCTTATGAGTTGAAAGTCATGAGAAAAAATTTGAGCCAAAATTAAATAAATGTGTTAAAATATCTTAAGTTAAATTATTTGTATTTTTGAATAATAAAAAATAGGAATATTTTATTTAACTAAAGGTTAATATAGATTAAATTAAATAAATAAAAAATTTAAAATAGAAAAAGTTAAATTACACCATTTAATGAAAAGGACTAAAATGAATTGTCTTTCCGTTTCAAGTGATAGTTTAACATATTTATCTTAACTTGATACTCTTTTTAAAGAAGAAAACTTTTACAACGTTCGACAAGCACCGCTGAACACCATTAACGATCAACACCATTAATTTAATTTATAAAAGTTTAAAATTCTAAATGACTCAACGCATAATTATAAATTAGTTAAAAAATATAAAGTTAAATTATTTAAAATAAAATATTAATTATATTATTTTCCATAATCTTTTTTGGGTAAATTATATCATTGCCCACCAAACTATTATCCCTTTCCATTCTGACCATCATTTTTGAAATTTTTTCAATCAGGTCACCCAACTATTTAAATGCATTCAATCAAACCATTTGTCGTTAACATTTAAAGGAAGAACTAACATGACAGTTAATAAAATCAGTATAATTATATATTGAGTCCTTATTCCTTACACAATCTACCAAATTAGTAATAATTTTATTTACTTCAATATATTTAATCCTCTAATCATATAAAGACACGTGTCATGACATCATTGAAGAGTTTTTTTTATTTTAATTTATATTTAATTTTAATAATTTTTCTCCAATTAAATGATGACACATAACATCATATGATGGAAGGAAAATAAATTGAATAAAAAAAGCTGTTGAGGAAAGTTGAACCTTGGTCTCCAAAATAAAATAAGCTTACCTCTACCACTGTGCCAAGACAAATATTTGGAAAAAATTTACAATATCTGTTATCTATGTTATACTATAATGAAGGCCAAAAAAATGAAATTAAAAGTAACAATAAAATTACTCGAACCTTGGTCTATTACTAGGGATAGGCATAGGGCAGGGGGTCAGTTTTTTGCCGCCCAACCCCGATATAAAAATATATTGTTTATACTTGATCTCGCTTCGAATCTATTCGAATATATTAATATTTTAAAATAGTTAAAATAATATATTTGATAATTATTTAAAAATAGTTTAATGGTTAAATTAATATATTTTTACCTTAAACCCGACCCGGTTTATATATATATATAACCGAGTAAATTAATAATTTATATCGGGTTGGGTCGGGCGGGTGATTTTTCACCTTAAACCCAGCCTCATCCCGTCCGAAGCTATCTATTATATAACCCGCTTCGCCCCGCTCCGAACCCAATAGGAGTCGCTTTTTTTAAATTTCGGGTCTGGGGCTGGTTATATAATAGATAGCTTCAGGGCTGGATGGGGGCGAGTTTAAGGTGAAAAACTATCGACCTGATATAAATTATTAGTTTATTCTTTTATATATATATATATGAATCAGGTCAGGTTTAATGTAAAATATATTATTCTAACCATTAAAATATAATAAATAATTATAAATATATTATTTTAACTATTTTAAAATATTAATACATTTGAATCAGGTCGGACGAGGTTGGATATAAATAATATATTTTTGGGTCAGGGTCGAGGTGGCCAAAAAATCGACATGTCCTGCCCTGTGCCTATCCCTAGTAATTTGCCAAGGTTCGAGTTGTTTTATTGTTACTTTTGTTTTTATTTTTATGGCCTTCATTATAGTATAATATAAATAATAAATTTTATAAATATAATATAAAGAATTAGTGCTAGTACAATAGTAAAGGCCGTTAAATGCACTTTGGAGTTCCAGGTTCAACTCTTCCTAGGCCTGTAAATGAACTGAACGTTCAGTGAACCGTTCATGAACCGTGCGGCGGGAAGTTCGTTTATGTTCGTTTATTTATTAAATAAAACGAACATGAACAAGATTTTGCATTCTTTTAATTAAATGAACGAATACAAACAAAGGGCTTGTTCATTCACTTACGTTCGTGAACGTTTGATTATATGTATGTTCATTTATGTTCATTTATGTCCGTTCATTTATGTTTGAACAGAGGGCAAGTTGAATATTTTACGAAGATTATTGAAGTTGATTGGATTTCAAGAAGATTGTTTTGTTGAACAAATTAATTTTAAGACTTTATTATGTTCATATAGATTATATATGATTTATGTATGTTTTTGTCGTATTCGAACAAATTAACTCTAAAGTTGCAGGTTATAGTAAAGAATTTTAAGTTTTTATTCTTGTTGTTTACTTTTTTTTACATTCATTTTTTGTGTTCGAATAAGTTTTTTTTGTGTTTGTGTTGTTCATTTATATTTGTTTATTGTGTTCGTTTATGTTCATTTATTATGTTCGTTTATGTTTGTTCGCTTGTGTTCGTTTATGTTTGTTCGCTTGTGTTCGTTTACGTTCGTTTATGTTTGTTTATCATTTCATGAACGAACATGAACGAACATGAACAAGCTATATTCCTTAATGAACGAACATGAACAAAAAACAATTTGTTCGTTTATGTTCGTGTTCGTTTATGTTCGTTTATTTATTAAATGAACGAACATGAACATACCTCCGTTCGTGTGCGTTCGGTTCGTTTACAGTCCTAACTCTTCTCAATAGCTTCTTGATTCAATTTATTTTCCTTCCATCATATGGTGCCACATGTCACCATCATATGGAAAGAAAAATTATTAAAATTAAATATATAAATTAAATTTAAAAAGCCCGTCAATTACATCATGACACATGTCATTATATGATTGGAGGTTAAATATATTGAATTAAATAAAATTATGATCAATTTGATAGATTGTGTAAGGAATAAGGACTATATGTGTAATCATATAAATTTTATTAACTTTCAGTTCAGCTCTTCTTTTAAATGTTAATGACAATTGGCTTGATTGAATGCATTTAAATAGTTATGTGACTTAATTGACAAAATTTTAAAAATAATGATAAGAATTAAAAGGGGCAATAGTTATGTTGCCAATGGTATAGTTTACCCAAAAACGATTATGAAAAATAAAATATTAAATTAATGGTGCTCATCATTAATGGTGCTCAACGATGGTAGTCATGGCAAACTCATCCTTTAAAGATACACTGTAAATCTCACATCTTTATAAAAATGTATCGATCCACAACGATATAACAGGTAAAAATATGATAAAACCGGTATCAAAATGATAAAACCGGTAAAGCGCTACCGGATATATTGAAAGTGTCGATACTTTAATAAGTACGTGTAATAAATTATCGATACTTTCAAAGAAATAGGTAATTATCCTTTCGAAAGTATCGACACCTGACATAAAAGTATCGATACTTTGGTAGTTGTATCGATTAAATATAAATAACATATCCGATGAAAATATAAAGGTCATAGCTAAATATCCTCTGAAAATAGATAGAACAGACGAGTTTTTGAAATCAAAGCGTAATTGTTGCTGTATTTCAGAAGGCGTTTCTAAAGCGAAGTTTGTTTGTTTGTTGCTGCAGTCGAATCGAAAAGTATGTTGTCGAAACCGTAGTTTTTAATTATTACAGTAATCGGAAATAGGGTTTTTATGTGTTGTTTGGGGTTTTGGAGTAAAGAAGAATTTGGGACCGATTATAGGTAGAAAATGATATTCAAGGTAAAATATAAATGTTGATACTTTTATTAAATATTATAGGTAGAAAATGATATTATAGGTTGTATAAATATGCCGACACATTTTGTAGTGGCCATTCAAATTCTTTTGAAGAAAACCGTTTTACCACAAGAGTAGTTATCTATATTTGTATATTGAATAAAGTGTATGTAACAAGTATTTGATTTGATTTGCGTAAACTGATATATGAAGGAAAAATGGAGTCAATGGGTGGAAAATTGTTGGTGGCGCAGATGACTTTGAAATTGAGGCCGAGACTCGAAAGCAACCAAAGGGTGGATATATGTACTTCTAGTAAGTATCAATGTCTTTTTGTTATTATTGTTGAAATGATAATTGGATTAAAGTATTTAATAAATTTAAATTGATTACAAATTTTAAATGTTGACAGTATGGTCGAATGCAAAAGGATGAAGGAATATGGCACATAGAGCGGTTCGGTATGTAAAATGAAATTGACATTGAGTATTATTTAGTGTTAATGCATTGATTAAGAAACATTTATTCTTAATATTAGGTGACAAAAGATGTGAGGTCCAAATGGAATTCGATGAGTGATGCTAAAAAGGAACCTTGCATCACACAGTCAAGGA